TCAACCTTCTCACCCATATTAATGCCATTTTTGTAGGAGAGAGTAGAATTATGCACATGGAAGGTGCTAATATAAAAACAGGGTGCTTCCATGCAGAAAACTAAAAGTGGACCCCAGCCTATCACCATGCACCAACATCAACTCAAAATGGATTAAAGACCTTAACATTAAACCTGAATCTCTGAAACTACTGCAGGACAGAGTAGGAGAGACACTTGAACTAATAGGCACAGGAAGGAACTTCCTGAACAGAGTCCCAGGGTCACAACAAGTTGAAGAGAGACTCGACAAATGGGACTACCTTAAAATAAAAAGCTTCTGCACAGCTAAATCTATCGCAACTAAGCTAGAAAGACAACCAACTAATTGGGAAAAAATATTTACCAGCAATATATCAGACAAGGGGTTAACATCCTGTATATACAGGGAACTCAAGAAACTAATCCCTCCCAAACCTAACAAACCAATTACTAAATGGGCAAGGGAACTAAAGAGGGACTTCTCAAATGAAGAAATAAAAATGGCAAAGAAACACATGAGGAAATGTTCATCATCCCTGGTGGTGAAGGAAATGCAAATAAAGACAACCCTGAGATACCACCTTACCCCAGTCAGAATGTCCCACATCCACAAATCAGCCAACGACAAATGCTGGAGGGGATGTGGAGAAAGAGGAACCCTATTACACTGCTGGTGGGAATGTACACTTATACAACCACTTTGGAAAGCAGTCTGGAGGGTCCTTAGAAAGCTAAAGATTGACCTCCCCTACAACCCAGTCATACCACTTCTAGGCATCTACCCTGAACAACAAGGAACCAATATACAAGGACACGTGCACCTCCATGTTTATTGCAGCACTGTTCGCAATAGCTAGGATATGGAAACAACCTAGATGCCCCACCACAGATGAATGGATCCAAAAATTGTGGTATCTATAGTGGAATATTATGCAGCCATTAGAAATGACAAAATAATGGCATTTGCAGGGAAATGGATGGAGCTAGAAGGAATCATGTTGAGCGAGGTAAGCCAAGAATGAAGAGACAAACGGTACATGGTCTCCCTGATAAGTGGATGCTAAATCCAAAATGTTAGGTGATACGACAAAACTAACAGGACTTAAGAAACAAAGAACTCCCGCTCATCTGGTTGAACCACTACTAAATATCCCCATGCTGCTGATCACAAATATGGTACATAACATGTGAACACTGTTATATATTACAGACTGTGATAGACAATTTGCTCCAGGAAAGTTAGAATGAACTTGTGACTTTGAAATTATGTAATCACTTAATCACAATCAAAAAAAAAAAAAAAGAACCTCGGGGAAGGGAGGGAGGGGATGGTAGGGGGAAAACAATGGAGGGGGTAACAATGTTCAAGAGGAAGTGTACTCATTACCTCACTCATGTAACTGTAACCCTCTGTATAGTATCTTTACAATAAAAAAAATAAATAAATAAAAAACAGGGTGCTTCAAAGGAAGTTAATTTTAAGTTTTATATGTATGTATCTATATATGCATCAGAAAACTTGAGCATATCAGGCCTGAACATATGCTCATTTGTTAATCTTTTCATTTACTGCAGCACTGGAAATGCAGTGATGAGCAAATTCCCCCACTTTGGGGAGGACAGCGTCATACAGGAAGCATACATCAGCCAAGAATTGCTAAAAAGAATATATAATTTCCAATTGAGATAGGGGCTCTGATCAAAGGAATCATAGTTCTCTGTGAGCACAAAGCAAAACAGTACCCCCAAACCAAGTTATCCTACCCGAGGGCTCAGAGAATTCTCTTGTGTGCCATGATTCAGCAAGACCAAGTTACATATGGCATCCAAGATGGTGGACCTGACCTAGAGTCTCCAAAGTAGAACAGAACAAACAGTGTTAGGAATACTAAAAGAAAGAAGGTTACGAAGGTGGACTGGCATTCACACTGTAAGGAACGGAAAGCCAAGCTGCAACATGGTTTTAATAGGAAGACACAAGCAGCTTGCCTTAGGAAAGGCTACTGTCACATCACCATGGACCATAGTTGAGGAGGGTCATACTGCTTCTCAGGGGACAATTTTTTAGAAAGCTACATAGGAATCCAAGCAAGAGGTGGTGGCTGGTTCTCCTTTAGGAGTCATTGGTAGACATACACTAAAGAAGATGGAAGAAATAGAGGTTTTCACAAAGTAAAATCCAAGTGAGTGGTTGAACTCAGGAGGGGTAAAAAAAAAAATGAAGCCTTGTAAGGCTACACAGGGAAGGGAATTGGAAGGGGGGTGGTGGGGGGCGAAGGATTAGGGGTAGGGGAGAGGTGAAGATCCTCCCTGAGAAGATCTACGGGGTAGTTCAGGACAAGAGCAAGTCTTGAATTTAGTTATGAATCTGTTTTCAATGTGTCACAACTTCGCCAGCCAAAGAAACAGCTTAGTGATAAAAATGAATCATAGTTCTCTGTGAGCACAAAGCAAGCCAGCACCCAAAAATGATGATGATGATGATGTAGTCTCTTTTCTTTCCAACTGAGAAAATCTAGACCCCAGAGAGCTAACCAAGAACATATTGACTAAGGGTCAAAAACCTAGTGTCTTGCTGTTGCTTATTAAGTTTACTAACAGTAAATCAGTTCCAGACTTGTGAAATTTAGCAGATAATATTTATTAAGTATGATGTCTTTATTAAGCATGATTTACTTAAATATGATTCCAAGAAGATTTGATCATGTATTTTCTTAGAATTTAAATAACAAAAGTGAAGAACTACTGTTAATAAATACTATTTAATAAGTGTTTACTATATGTTGATTGCTTAAAATTTCACAAATGAATTCTCTGATGTTTCAGTGCTATTAACCTGTGTTTTATTTTAGGCAAGGAGCAGGAACAATATATCCTTCTAAAGACTCCATTATAAATAAAACTTAAAATGTCTACTTCTAAGCACCAAATAAAAGAAAAATACATAATTATGCTAATTTAAGACCCACAGAGTTCAATCAGATAACTTCATCTCACAAGCTTTATGTCTGTGTACAAAGTTATTTTCTTTCAAAAATGTTTACTACAGAATTAGCAATTTTTTCATATGCTCAACTTGCTAGTAATTTATAATACTAATGAGAAAGAAATTCGTATATGTACGTGTGTGTGCATGTGAGTGTGTTTTATGGGGTAGAAATGATACTGCTGGTTTGTTTTATTGTAATTGTCAGGTAAAATTCTTGATTATGTCCTTTGTATTCCTGAGCAATGTCAACCAGCTTGTAGACCAGGCCTGTTTTTGTAAAGAAAGTTTATTGGAACATCAGTGTGCCTGCTCATTTGTGAACTGACAGGATGTCTACTTCCCCATGGCAGAGTTGAATAGTTGATAGATATAATTCTATAAAACCAAAATTATTTAGTCTTGGCTCTCTAGACAGATGTTTTCTGACCCTGCCTCTTGAGCAGTCCACATCTGCTAATGCTTTTGTGAGGTCAGGAAACTTGCAGCATTTGACAGTAGGTTTACCACTTCCCCAAGTGCAAGCGCTTACCATCTTTTACCTTACAGAACTGGGTGCAAAGGCTAAAGGCGAGCTATCCAATGAACAGGATTTGATCCATATTTCTAATCTAATTCTTCTAGACCTCTGAAAGGGTGAGACATAAATAGTAGTTTGCGAGGAAGTAATTTTTTGTTATAAAGTATCATAAATAGGTGTTTATAGATTTGTATATTTAACTTACAGATTGAGTAACCAAGATCTCATTGGCCTAAGAACACATAGACTATAATAAAAAACTAAATCCTTGACTTTGCTTACCATTTTTTAATAAAAGTAAATCATTTCTAGACTGTATTAGCCAACTAAACAGGTCAAGACAAGGAGGTCCTGGGTTCAATCCCATATAAGGACAGAAAAAAAAGAAGGAAAGAAAGAAGGAAGGAAGGAATAAAGGGAGGGAAGGAAAAAGTCTGGCAGTAAGAAAGGGAGATAGGGAGGGAGAGGAAGAGAAGAATCAATAATAAGTCTTAAAAAAAAAACTACCTAATGGAGCATTGTATGAAAACATACAATGTAAGTATTATTATAGATTTACCATTTCTTTAAAAAAATGACTGTTACAGTACAATTTAAGTAAGATCTGTACTTTGACTTATAGGGGAATATAAAACCCAGCAAAGAAAAACCCAATACCAGACTCACTTGTTCCTATAAACAAATAATAGTGAATAATTTCCCTTTGTTGCTTAATTCATTATTTCTTAAATATGAATTACCTGCATCAGAAAATTCTGGAGTCTGTGTGACAGTGCTGATCTCTGTTCTCCTCCTTAGCCTACTAAATCAGAAAGCTAGGGAAGGTTTTTAAGAATATACTTTGGAAAAATACCAAAACTCTCTTTTTATTCACAGAAGAGACTATGAAAACTTGTGATTTAATTCAGATTCTTTGAGTCTGGAAGATAATTAATTGTAAAAAGGGTCAATTTCTCTTACGGAAAAGGTCTTATATTTCCATAGTGGTCCCATTGGCTATTGTTGAAGTGCCAGTTATATATAGGGACAATAAGCTAGGTTAATCAATGGCATGTTACTAAATTTGGGAGTGCCAGTTGGAGAAGGATTATGATGAATGTAACAATCTTGAAGCAATGGGAAATAATTAGCATGTAAATTAAGTTGTAGGTTAGCCACATTAGGGAAAGGTTAGCATGCTATGAATTTTTATAAGGTTATAGTTTTATTTTTGGATTGATGTGAGCATTGGCTGTACATCAGTGAAAATTTGGGAATAATGAAGTTGTTATTATTCATTGAGCTGGTGAATTCTCTCAAATCTATCTATGTTGGGATAGCTATTGAAATTTACACAAAATAAATCTAGATGTAAAGTTTTGCACAGGTGATGTGTAAAGATTTTTTTTTACTACTTGATGACTGTATGTCAAGTTATTAAATGACTCTAAAGGGTGATAGTCATAGGATGTATGTTTGTTTTCTGATATTTTAGGTTGTGTGTGTGGTCAATAATTTCAAAGGACGACAACCTGAAAATGAGCACATACACATGGACAGTCTGGCCCAGATGCGAATGATCAGCATTCCCCGGGCGGAAAGTCCCCTGGAAAAGGTAACATCTGTGCAGGTGATTCATTATTGTAGTTCCAAATGTAATTGCCATCCAGAACTAATTAATAATGATTTTCCTATGTACCTTTGGACAGGGTCCCCTTTAACGTGTTGGTTTACTTCATTTGAGTCTAACGTGATACTTAGCAAGAATTTGTCACTGAAAAGGTCATCTTAGAAAACTGCATTTAGGGGAAATGGGTAGCCCTGGAAAAAATTATCTTATGTGAAATAAGTTAGGCCCAGAAAGGTATGTGTTCTTCCATATGTGGAAGATGGATCTAAATTTTAACCATACATGAAAACATGCAAGGTCATATGGCATAGATAAATAAACCTGTTGTCTGAAGTATGATAGTCACAAGGGAAAATTACAATGTTATAACTCCTCTGAACAACTAACTTTACAGTTAAACAATTTTTTTTAGAAAACAATACCAGGAACCTGAAACATGTGTTGTACGTAGGGGAAGAGGTCAAGTAGAGGGAAGGCAGACAAATGTAGAGAGGAAGAGTGGACAAACACAGTCATAATATTCAATGTGCATGTGAGGAGATGGAACCAGACAACTTGAAGGGATTGGAGGGGTTGAGAGAGAAGGGGAGGAACAATGGAAAAGGTGACATTGATAAAGATGCTTTGTGTTCACAAACTGACGTGTTGAATTGAAACCCCTTTGTGCAGTTATTTAAGGATCATAAAAGAAAAATCAAAGTGAATTTCACAGTGAAAGTACCTGTATTCCTTATGCTACAAGCTGAGTATCTGCATACAGAATGCATTGTAGATTGGTCTTGCACTTTGCAAAGCAAGAAGATACTTTTACTTGAGGATATATGATTTTTTAAATAAAAGTGCATCCTGTTTGTCTGTGTTCCATGTCTCACATCTACAAGAAAGTGGGCTGTGCAATTCTTGGCCCACTGTCAACACTTACTACTTTTGACTTTCAAGATACACCAGTCTGGCAACTAGAAAATGCACACACACACACACACACACACACACACACACACACACACACCATGGGATGAGGTGCTAGGACACTAAAAATACATTACAGGCTTGTAGGCTTGCAACTCTGAAGATATGGTTTTGTGCTCATCAGACAGAATGATAGAAAGCCCACCACCTATAGGAAACCTATGATAGCTATCACTCCTCTTGTAGGGATAAGGAATATCTAAAATAAATACACGGTTTTTCATTACAGCTTATATTGGCAAAGACTGCATGCAAAAGTCTCCCCAGTTCTTTGATTGGCAGAGCCATTAATTTCTTAAAACAGGTAGCCTGAGGAGAGCGTGGACGCCTATTCTACAGTTGATCTGCAGGCATGGGCCCCGATTTGACAATTTTTAGACCAAGCTATCATAAAAGTTGACACTTTTCTGTGTTTCTTGTAGACATTATATTCTTACATAACCTCTTACATTCAAAGTGCATTTGACTATAAGAGGTTTGATAAACTATAAGCAAAGAGTAATTATAGCATGCAGGCTTGCTTTATTTTTATGCCACTGATTTATCCTTTAATTATGGGGAGTTTGTCATATGGTTAATTACCATAGTTTACAAGAAAAATTCATGATTTTTCTGAAAGCTAAGTGACTCTGAACATTCATTGCATTTAGTTTTATGAAAAGATTTAGTCATCTGTAGAAACTTGCCCATTGTATCTCAATGTCCACTTAATATGCAAGCTACCTATAACTTCATTACAGCTGTTTGTCATCTCAAATCATGAAAAGCTAAGTGGTATCCTTAGTGAGATGTTAAATCACAGATAGCATATCATTACCACGTGAGCTGGTAGATTACAGCGTGTGCTTCTGTTCCTAGGTCTCCAAGTCAGAATAACTGGGAAATTTGGGCAATTTTGACTTTAGAAAACTCATTTAAATGTTCAGTGACTCAATTTTCTTTTTCATAAATTGGTTTCTATGAGAGTTCTAGTAAGTTAATAGCAAATAAACTTGTAACAATGTCTGGCACTCAAAATTTAATAATTGCTGATCATCATTACTATTCAACAGTGAAAATGAAGCATGTAAATCAAGACCTAGAAAGGTTCCTGATATATATCATAAAATTTTTAGAAGAAAGTTTATACAGATAAAATATGTGTATGCATACAATAAAGCAAGATATTCAAAATACCTAAGACTATTGTATAGAAGGATTATAGTTGTATGCAAATCAGGGCAAAAAAATTAATAAGCCTTATATTTCAAAACACTCCAGCCATAGTGACCAATATCTGTAAACTGTATGGGAAGCAGAAGAAGGAGGATCACTGTCCAAGGCTGGTCCAGGCAAGAATGACAGGATAAGATGCAAGGACAAACTAAATGAAAGAGAGCTGGTAACACTCCTCAAGTGGTAATGCACCTGCCAGCAAATGCATAGCCACGAGTTCAATCTTCAGTTCTATCAAACAAACAAAGACACACAAGGTATTTATCTCTAATAGGATGGAAAGGAACATGTAGATGAGGGAGACAGAGAGGAAAAGCACGTGCTAAGAAGAATCCTAATTAAGATATAGGACTATGACTTTATCTAAATTCACCATCTCCCCTTTCTTTCCTACTCCTTTTCTCTTCCTTCTCTCTGCCTTCCCTATAATCACTTACTACAGACTCACAAAGAACTAATTCTGATTTAAAAGCACTGTTCAGTTTTCATAAACCGCTTTCTATGGAGGTTGTGGATGTGCTTTCTCCGTAAACTGATTAGCTGATCGTCCTTGAACGACATTCCTCCAGTGTAACTTGAATTCCCGTGTTCCTTTTTTATGGTTTACATGATCTTTATGGAAGCAGTTTAGTTTTTTTCCTCTGCTAAATTAAGCACGTGCATCTTATTTGTAGCTCCTGCACTTTTTTCCCCCCCATGGCACCCAGGCAGCCATGTGAATTTTAGATCCTATCAACCCTGCATCTGAGCTGAGCAAGGGCCCTGCATTTGTAGGATTTCACCAGCCAAGAACCCCAGGGAACCAACCTACTCATAAATCCACAGATTACACAGTATTTTCTTTCTGCTTCCTCACCCAAGGACCCCTCCATTCCCAATGGAATCTGCAGCAGAGCTGCGTTCAGATATTTCCAGAAACCTATAGACACTTGTAGTTTGCCTTGGGAATCCGGGAAACAAAGGTGTGACTCTCCCTAGGTAGTAGAGATGGGACCAGGTACATTTGCATTATCCTTAGTCTCTTGTGTTAGTAAGAGTAAAGGAGGAATTAAAATCTTAATAGCTGTGGCAAGAAAAGTGATAGTTATGTAGAGTAAGATGTTAGGAAATTCTATTAAATATACTTTAAATGAAGTTAGTTTAACAAAAGGGTCCCAAAGGCATCTCAAATCTTTCTTTGCTGGTAAAGAGGTACAACAATGGAGGAATGACTAAAATCCTCTAAATCCACTAGTCCGAAGCTTTAGTGAGGGAGAAAGAATATCTAAGAGAGGAAGGAAGTCACTCCATACACCCATGTCAGCACCAAGGACTAACTAGTATCTCTGTGTGTGAGTGTGTGCGTGTGCACGCGTACACATGCACACAGACGCCACTCTAGGAGCTTGACCTCAGGGCTTGGGTGCTGTCCCTGAGCTTTTGTGCATAAGGCTAGTGCTCTACCACTTGAGCCACAGCTCCATTCCCAGCTTTTTGGTGTGTTACCTGGAGATAAGAGTCTGACTTCAAACCTCTATCCTCAGCCTCCTGAATAGCTAGGGTTACAGGTGTGAGCCACCAGCACCTGGCTAGTATCATTTTGAGAGAAACTCAGCCTACAGGCGAATACACACCAACCTCAGATGTCTGTGAGGATCAGATGGAAGTTTTGTGGAAGCAGACATTTGAGGGTGGTGTGTATTTGCCTGTTGGCTGAGCTTCCAGCTGATGGGAATTATTTAGTATGAGATCATGTCAGATGTTGGTCATAGGGCTTGAACTCTGGGCACTGTCCCTCAGCTCTTCAGCTCAAGGCGAGTGCTCTACCACTCGAGGCACAATGCCACTTCTGGCTTTCTGAGTGGTTTATTGAAGATAAGAATCTAAAGGACTCTCCTGCCTGGGCTGGCTTTGAACCTCCTTCCTCAGATCTCAGCCTCCTGAGTAGCTAGGATTAGAGGCGTGAGCCATCAGCACCGAACTGAAGGCATCCTTTTCTAAACTGAATGAGTACCCCACACTGGACGGATAGCTACCTTTCAAAAATATTTTATTAAACAGAAAGAATTCACATATAAGAACCAACAGGCAAAGACAACAATTGAAGCCGAAGTTAGGCTTCACAGAGGCAGTCTTTCTGCTGATTCGAAAAACAGCAATAGACATTACCTTCCTGCCTCATTTCTTCACACCTCCAGTCTTGCTGGTAGTTATCAAGATGGCGATGTAAAAGTATCCTGCTGCTTTCCCACTCAGAAGCTCTGCAGAATTCCCTAGTCATTGCTGAAATCATTAAGAGATCATTGATGAAGCCTTTCCCACTTATTTTATATATATATATATATTTATTTATTTATTTATTTATTTATTTATTTAATTTTTGTTGGTCATGGGGCTTGAACTCTGGGCCTGGGCACTGTCCCTGCACTCTTCAGCTCAAGGTGAGCACTCTACCACTTGAGCCACAACGCCACTTCCGGTTTTCTAGTGGTTTATTGGAGATAAGAGTCTCACAGACTTTCCTGCCTGAAGCACTTATTTTAAGAAAACAAGTGGAATTAAATCCACCTCATTCAAGCATGAATACATCAGGACAAGAGCCTAAGTCCCTTAAAATGAGTAGGTAACACATATGAGATATGAAACATATCTTTTGAAAACTAATTACAAGAAATTTAATTACATTGCTTGTTACTGTTACCTTTTTTCCACAGTAAGGAAAATGAATGGAAAAGCAAGGACTCATGCATATAATCCCAGCTATTTAGGAAGGAGAAGTTGAGGAGGATTGTGGCTTGAGGTCAGCACTGGGGAGAGAAAGCCAATAGAGGGCGAGA